CAACAATAAAAAGATGAGACCTAATTGCCAGTCTAGTCGTACGATTAAATTTGAGTTTGGCACGTTTCGGCGTAGCCCATTTTGCGTGGCCGATTCGGCGTGACCAGTGCCACTTCCCTGATTCTAGGACATTTGCGTCATAGACAGTTGCATACTAGACAATTATGTCCCTGGACTTTTGCACCCCTAAACAAATGCGTCCTTAGATAATTGTATACAACAGATAAATTTTTGAGGCTTTTAAAGGCAATTAACATAGATTTTGGAAAAAAGTATAGATAGTAATCATTTTTTTTTAAAAAAGGATAAAATAAAAAAAAATATTAAACGTTTATTTTTGTTTAAATTGCAATGACAGATTAACAGTATTGAAATATCGCTCTACACATCGCCATTATGTTTTTGTTTCATCGGCGTTTTTTTTTGTTTTTTTTTATGATAGTGGTAGCTGTAATTCTCCTCGCCCACAAATATTTTTCCACCATTTTTTGATTTTCGGAAATCAACCATGGGTTTCAAATAAAAATATAATCTATAAAATCCAGTATCTATTATATGTTTGTTGTACGCACTGCTGGAGTAAATTGAAACTGCTAGCTTAGTTTTCTCTTGCTTTAAGAAATAATTTTTTTCTTTTTTTTTATTTCTGGTAACTACATTTCTGCTTGTTTAGATTAATTAATGGTATTAGTATGCAAAGTTCTATATAAAACAACTCTTTAAAAAAATATGGTAACTTCAAAAAATTATCAGAAATACCCAATTATCCAGAGACGTATTTGTCGAGGGACGCAATTGTCCAAGACGCAAATGTCGATGGACGCAAATGTCCGGGACGCAAATGTCGATGGACGCAATTTTCCAAGACGCAAATGTCAATGGACGTAAATGTCCGAGACGCAAATGTCGATGGACGCAATTGTCCGAGACGCAAATGTCGATGGACGCAATTGTCCGGGACGCAATTGTCCAAGACGCAAATGTCGATGGACGCAATTGTCCGAGACGCAAATTTCGATGGACGCAATTGTCCGAGGCGCAAATGTCGATGGACGCAATTGTCCGAGATGCAAATGTCGATGGACGCAATTGTCCGGGATGCAATTGTCTGGGACGCAAATGTCTAGTACACAACAGCCCGTCCATCAATTTCCTTATAGAGCTCGCCGCCGATTCGTGCCGTCTTATCTAAAATGAAATGCCAAAAGTAATTTCCTATCATAAATCATTTTTATTTTGTTGATGGTTGGTTGGTTGGCTTTTATGGCATATCAACCACTGTAGGTCATTTAGTGCCAAATTAAGTTATATATATATATATATATATATATATATATATATATATATATATATAATATATATAGGACATGTAGATGTCTATAAGCTATATAAGCTAGAGCTTATTTGCTTGCACACTCCAAAATAATTCCAGGTATTACTGTCTAGGACAAGGAATTCCATTTAGTATAGACAATTTGTTTGTACAATGTTAAAAGGTAGTATATATTAATTACACATCAAACCTTGAGAAAAGACCAATTCTTTTCAGGAAGTTTATTATATGACTTGGATCAATTTTTGTAAATAGTGTGACGTCGTCCCCCGGTCGCAGCGCCAACTGTGACGTTCTATCCTGATCTACCACGGTGCCAGTTGTGACGTGGCCGTTCCAGGGTCCTATCCCGGTCACGACACCAGTTGTGACGTCCCTAAACAGCACCAATTGTGACGTCTTCGCCGCGGCGCCAGCTGTTCGCTCCTCGCTGCTCCGTCCGGGTGTTGCTGCTTCAAACGTGACGTTCGCCTGTCGCGTCAGTCGTGTTGTCTCGTACTGTAACGACCAACTGGCTTGGTATCGGTCGCGGCACCCAAATGTGACGTTCTAACCTTTTGGTGATTCGGGTGGGAATCTGGTTAGATTTGATATCAGCCTCGCCGTTCCCAACTCGCTTCCAACGCCTGGTTACCAAGGTAACTGCACTGATCTCCAGTCTGCCTACCCACGTTGTGAATTGATCTTAGACAGACGAGATCAAACAGTGGTTGGGGCCGTAATGCAAATTGAGTTCAACGGGGGTGATAACACACAAATATGCATAAAAGAAAATAAAATGAAAACTCAAAAAGTTCAAAGTATCAAAGAAAAAAATAACAAACTTTATGTCTAGTTGTTCGATACATAGGACTGCATCTATCTCCCGACCCGTTCTGTGGATTGTGACACGTCGTTTTCGCTAGGCAAGTTTTAACGCTTCAAGTTGTTTGCTCTCTAAGAAATTTGTGTTTCGGTGTGTCTCTGGACGAAAGTCGAAAAACTTATTTCGGTGGTCTGGTCCTAAGTCGCTCTTCAAAATAATTGTTCTTGGTTGAAGAGGAGTCCAAAATTTTGCGTGAATCTTGGTCAGCTATCTTGAGGCGGCTTCAACTCTGGAAACTGGAGCTCGAACTGATTTCTGCCTGTTGGGGCCTGGCTTTTATTGACGCCGACAAAAACCGGGTTGGGTCTGTTGGCGTCGGGGAGTTCCTCGATAATTCTAAATACATATCCACCTCTTTTATTTCTGGTTAGGGATTTTCCACTCTTTTCCATTTTTGGTAACTTTTTTTTCACTCCCACTTTCTCACCATGCTTCTGAGGGGCGTGAACTGCCCTCCCCACTTCTTCGTAGCGGCTTCTCATACTTATACTCTGGATGGGTTCGTCGACAGCCTTCTTCGTGCGTCACGTGATCACTCTCGGCCAATGAGATCTTGGTCGGGTATCTTTCCTCCTCCTTCGTGCGTCATGTGATCACTACTTGACCAATGACGTCTTAGTCGGGCGTGAACAACCCGCGGCTTTGTTTCGGAAAAAAAAATACCTTGCTTAACTAAAAAATTAATTATCTCTTCTCTTTCCTTTTTTTCTTCCTTTCAAATCGCCGTTATCATGAACGGATAATATGACAACTCTTTGTTCAACACGTGGCGTTTGTCAAGCAGTTTATCGCTAATTCATCAGATGGTTGGTTTTCCGACATGGCTTCAGAAAATAATTTTCTCCAAGTTTTCAGTCGGTCTGACGTCTCCAAGGAAGAAATAAAAACATTTCTTATTCCATTCATTTTCCTTCGGTTCATGTGTCTGATAACAAAAATTTATTATCGCAGGGCAAAAGTTTGTTTTGTCGAAAAGAGTTTAGTTAGCGAGACTGCTTGTGTGGGATTTTAATTTTCCATATCTAGCTAAGGCTCCGTAGCTACACCTGTGTTTTGTCAATTATCAAAATCTAACGTTTTCAAGTGAACTTTCTTTGGCGAACATTTCTTGATAACACAATTCCATTCGCGCAGGCCAAGTAGGAAAATCGGTCAATGATTGCTCGCAGATGGCCTTTAATTTTCATATCTGTCCAAAGTCTTTTTTAGTCGCATGTTTCTTGTCGTCACTTATCGAAATAACATTTTCGTTTGAATTTTTCCCTTGGCCGGTGGTCTGTGTTTTGATAATAAGATGTCTTCTCGTAACAATAGTTTGTTTTCATATCCTTAGATAACACTTCCCTACCCACTCAATCTCATTGTCATTGTAATGACACTCTTTCGCCATTTGCCACTTATCCAAAATAACCCCTTTTTTTATTGCCTCTTAAGCCGTGTGTGTGTGTGTTCGCTTATCACCTATGATCCGTCTCGCAATACTTTTTCCCTTCCTTTCTTCTTTTCTTTCCTTTTCCCTTTTTGCCTTTCTTTCTCTGCATGGATGCATGGTGCCACAATAGTTCCTTTGTACTCTTAATGTTGTAGAAATTTCTTCGAATGTGTGTAAGGTTTGTGCATTCTATCAGTATATGTTTTACTGTGTATTTGTTTCCACAGGGACATTTAGGAGGAGGCTCCTTTTTATTTTGTTGAGTGAGATGATATTTATCATAAATATACCATATTTGTTGGTACAACTAGCATTTATTTAGAGCAGAAACTCTTTTAATATTCCCTTTAGTGAACAATTACATGTTAAACTAATTGACGTGTTTCGTAAAGGGTTTCCTGAAGTGTGTTTAATGTACAAAAATTATGTTGTTAGAGTTTAACGATAAACTTGAATAATTAGGATCGACCTTTACACGAGACAAATTATCTCATAATTCAAAAATTAATTGATGAAGATATTTCTATGTCCAACATTCAAGTTCGGTGCAGATATGTGCATTTTTTTAGTGCGCCCACGTAGATACTGCATCGGACACATGGCCAAAGTTCGATCTATATAAGAGAAATGAGAAATTCATAAGCTGATAGCCATAAAGGATAAGCTAACATATTAACGTGTCATATGATATTGTTCCTGTAGAAAATTAATTTATTGGCCAAAGATCAAACTGTCGATCTCTTCAAAGAATCGACTTGTACACGAGCATAAATGGGTTTAATTGATAGCTTTAGTTTATGTTTTGTTTATTTAATCATTAGATATTACTGAAAAGAATCCTCAATTAAATATGGCTGCGGAAAAGATGGGCAAGAAATAATCACAATTATTGATCTCGTCGCAAGTGAATTAAAATTATTAGTGATTTCCTACGGGCCACTCTGGAACAAAAACTATTTGATGTGCGTATCTTTTGAACTTTTATCTAGTAATCTATTCCTGTCAATTTCTTTCTCTCTTTCTTTATTACTCACTTACTTGTTTTATATTTTTATCTATCTATCTATCTATCTATCTATCTATCTATCTATCACAATGTCTTCATTCTCTTTCTTTCTTTCTCAATGTTTTCATTATCTATCTATCTATCTATCTATCTATCTATCTATCTATCTATCTACCAATATGTTTTTTTGTTTCTTTCTATTCCATATCTTCATTCATTTATTTATTGAAGTCTGTTCATTTTTCTCTTTTAGTTTTTCTTTTTTTTCTTTTTCATAATTCATTTTTTTTATCTTGACCATTCTTTTCCTTATCTATCTATCTATCTATCTATCTATCTATCTATCTATCTTCGTTTTTTCTAACTTTCCATCTTTCTTCAGACCAGTTTTTCATTCTCTTTTCTTTCTCTCTCTCTCTCCGTATATATATATATATATATATATATATATATATATATATATATATATATATATATATATATATCAAAAAACGATCTGCTGTGTGTATCCAAATGACATTTACGACGTGAAAAAAACAAAGAAAACTTTTCGAAACGAATTAAAAAATGATTGTTTACTTACCTTGAGGGCAAATCGAAAAATCGATTTTCACTATCTCAACAAATCCCTTGAATAGTTTTCACTCCCACCATTACTTCTTTTTTGGGAGTAGCGAAAGATGCCTTCCAAAAGCTAAGCAAAGTATTAAGAAACAAAAAAGATTTCATTAGAAACAGTGAAAAGAATACTGAACTGTTACGTAATATCCGGTCTCCTACATATGTTCTGTGATAGCTGGAGAATCTCCTCGAAGATGAAGAAGAGATTTGAAGCAAGTGAACTGTGGTTCTACAGAAGGATACTGAGAATAACATGGATCGAACATGTAAGCAACGTCGAAGTTTCAGAGAAAATGGAAACAGAAATGGCACTTAAATTAACATCAAGAAGAGACAGTTGAAATTTCTACAGCACCTAATGAGGAAAGAGGGCTTGGAAAATTTGATACTCACAGGACAGATTGAAGGCAAGGGGGACAGAGGAAATCAACGTAAAACGTACATAGTGGATGTCGGAAGAAGGTTTAGGAGAGATGACAAAAAGAAAAAGAATATTATGAGCTACAAAGGACAGAGAATTGTGGAGAGCCATGATCGCCAACGTCCTGAAGAGATACGGTAAATAGAATAATAATATTAAGATTATGGGACAGAGGTATTTTATTACTGTCTAAGTCTCGGTTTCGTTTTTTTTATTATTATTATTCTTTGCTTTTATTTCTTAATCGTTTCACCCCCAAGCAAGGCAATAATGCCACTAAGACGCAATGGTTAACTGGGTGTGAAAGAGAATAATATGCCATTAGTATGGAGAAAGAACAAGTTTCAGGTAGACTGAATATGGCGATTGACGTTGCATTTAAAGTTTTGAAGATTGTAGATGGCAGGGCAACAAGACATTGAAAGAGAGATACAACAACGAAAATTGTGAGAAAAGAAACTATAAAAATAGAATAGGTTGTATCTAGTTTAGTTCAACAGTAAAAAGATGAGACCTATTTTTGATTCTATTTTTTATTTCCATTTTTGCTTTCATTCAAAAATTACCTTGTTTTCATTCATTATATACATTTAACATTTTCATTGTATTTTTCTTTTTGACTTCATTCCGCGTTTTGATCTAATTTAGCCTTTTTTGCTCTTTTTCATTCATTGAATGGATTTTAGAGTTTTCTTTCGTTTTTTCATTCTTTGCGTTTAAAGAATTTGCGTATCCGTTCTTTGATATCATTTCATTCTTTTTCTTTGATATTTTCATTCTTTTTCTTTGATATTTTCATTCTTTTTCTTTTATTTCAAATCTTCTTTCTTTCGTTCTTTTTTAGTCTTGACTTCTTTTGCTTTTCATTCAAATTTTCTTTCGAACTCAATCACATCTTTCATTCTTCAACATTTTTCATAATTTTCTGAATTCTTTTCCCCTTTCTTTCAGTTTCCTTTCGTTTACCAATTCGTTTTGATTTAACAATTTCTTTCAATTTTTTCGTTATATATATATATACATACATATATATATATATATATATATATATATATATATATATATATATATGTGTGTACAGTGTAACCCGGATATAAGAGAAACCCGTATATAAGAGAGATTTTCTCTGATCTCCAATTAGAGCCATACTTACCTAAACAAAATAGACCAAACCGGATATAAGAGAAACCCGGATATAAGAGACTCCTTCTCCGGTCCCGACAACTCTCTTATATCCGGGTTACACTGTATATATATATATATATATATATATATATATATACATACAAATACGGAATATTTCTCTTATCATTCTGTTTGCATTTAACCACTGTTTACCTATATATATATATATATATATATATATATATTATTTAAAAAACTAGGTAATCCGTATGGGTAAACCTAAGGAGGATAAAATCCAGAGAGCTCAATGTAAATCCAGAGCAAATAATTTAAAGTGGTCTGTTTTTATTTAATATATATATATATATATATATATATATATATATATATATATGATATTAATGTGGTTTTAAGATATGCTATATGTATGGGTAAAATGATCATCATAGTAAGAGATAATGTCTATGATGCAAATTGACTTCAGTGGCCATATATATATACATATATATATATATATATATGTGTGTGTGTGTATGTCTGTGTGCGTGTTTATGTGAGGTTTCTTATTGCATGGCATATTTTATTTTCTCACTAATTTTTATTTCATTTACTTTTTTATCCTGCTTCCATTTTTTTTGCAACCGTATGATTGGGCCATTCATCGAGACCTTTTTTCTCAAACCTTAATAACATCGCTCTCCCAGGCTTAGAAATACCAAATCTCAGCAGAAAGATTTTCATCGGTGGGGAGAAATTCAGGTAACATCTATCAGTCATACGAGCAAAGGAGAAAAAACAATTACCAGATAACATTTCAAAAAGGAGGATGAAATTCTCCGCCAAAAGAAACAGGATGTGTCGAAGCGAAAAGATGCAAAAGATATGAAAGGATAACTCAAGTACACCTGTACTGAATCTAATTCAACAAACCTAGATACCCGGATTTATGTTTGGCATACTATATCCGAGTAAATATTTTCATTTTCCAAAAGAAAAACGTTAAACTGATTAAAAAACAATAAAGCATTATAAAGGGTGTTTCATTAAGACGGATCAAAGTCAGTAGTAAATAAATCAGTATTATTGGTGAAAATTTATTTATTTCTCTATTGGATCTCGTTATTTAAGTCATGGCAATTATGTATGAAAAATATCGCCCAAATGTCCGCCAAACCTTCGGCGGCACACCTCCACTCGATGGTCAAATTTTTTTGATGACGTCTCTGCATAATTGTTCCTCAATCTCACCAATATGTCTTATTATCTCATCCTTCAGCTGTTGAATTGTTGTTGGCTTGTTGGCATAAATATTTCTTTTGAGATGACCCCAAAGGAAGAAATCTAAAGGCATCAAGTCACACGATCGTTGTGACTAATTGACTTCGCTGTTTCGAGAGATGAAGCGACCTGGGAACTTCTAATTCAATAAAGCCATTGTTGCATCTGCTGTGTGGTATGCGGTGCCGTCGTGTTAGAGTCACAAATCTTCGACATCCATAGCATTCAATTTGGGTTAGTTATCATGGCACGGTATCGCTCGCCTGTCACCGTAAAAGAATTCCCGGTATCATTTTCGAAGAAATACGGCCTAATGATTCCGCTAGCAAAAATGAACACCAAACAGTTTGTGGATGAAGTGGCTTCCTTGAATTTTCATCAGCACAAATGCGACAATTCTACTTATTAACGAATCCGTCAAGATGAAAATGGGCATCATCACTAAAAGGGATTTTTTTTTTCTTTTTTGCGGAAAATTTTCATCGGCTTGTCTTTGCGTCTGCACTACAAAAAAATTGCGAATTGTATTTCTGTTTGAACGTCCATTTTCGTTATATGCTTCAATAAATTTAACACGGTGTTTGATTGTTAATCTTCCCATGGTTAAAACTGCCAAATACTTAAGTTGTTAAATCTGAAAGAAAAAGAAAAAAATCACCAGACGCTTAAACTAATTCACATTTAAAATCGGTCCAATTTATTAGAACACCCTTTATATAGAAATAGTTTAATGTCTATTCAAATATGCGCACCCATTATCAATAACGTTTATTCGAATAATAATGATAATAATAATGACCCATCACTCAAACTCTATTGAGACGAATGTAGAAATAAGGAATGCAACAGAGTATGGGGTGGATGCTGGAGAGAATGAAGTACGGAATAATCTCCCAGGAAATGAAACCCAAGACTCTACCTTAAACACAACCTACAGTCCTCCAGAAACTGCACCTGGAGTCATCTTCAGTGACAATAAGTTAGAATTCCTTGAAAACCACGAAGCTGAAATCACCGAAGCGAAAAATGACGTCATCCAAGTACTCAGCAGAGTAACATTCACACAATTGTCAGACAGAGACCAGCCCCCGAAAATCCATATGACGAACTCCAACAGGCACATCGTGAAAATATACAATGCTGCTCTGGAAACACTGTTAACAGATAAACCACCGGGAAACATCACAGAAGTTAACAACGTCATATACGCCACAGCTTTAGCAGCGACTCGGAAGCTTGGGGTCAAGACAATAAATAAAATTAACAGACACAGAGAATCAGCTTGGAAAATCAAACTGATTCGAGAAATACAACAAATCAGATGTGAGCTTTCTATATTAGATGAGCTCACTAGAAACCCTAATATTTCCACACGTAAATTCAAAAAGATCAAGCGGAAATATAACATTAAATCCCCAATTGATATTCCATCAATCAAGGAAAGCTGAAGCAGAAACTTCAGCTGAAGGCGCAGGGAACAAGACGATACGAAAAACGTTGTAGGTTCTATCGCCAAAATAAAATATTCCGAACAGATCTTAAGAAATTTTACAGGGAAATTGGAAAAACACCTATACATGTCGAAAGGCCACCATCGATTGATAATGTACAGACATTCTGGGAAAATATCTGGAGCAGCCCAAAGGAGTATAACCCAAATGCAGAGTGGATACGGCGTGAAGAAGAACGAATGCTGGATACACCTCTGCAAGAATGGGAAAATATATCCACAGATGATGTTAGGCAAGCTCTAACGAAATCCCAAAAGTGGAAATCCCCAGGAAGTGACAAGTTGCCCAATTTCTGGCTGTATCATCTCACATCTACCCATGAAATTCTTACAAAAACATTATCAACGCTTGTAAATAATCCCTATAAAACCCCGGAATGGATTACTGAAGGTATGACATACCTCATAC